TCACAAAATATAGCATCTAGTGTCATTTTGGGGGTGGGGGTGCAGTAGCACCCCCTGGTGGCAAGAGGGAGATTTTAAAATAATGTGTTAAAAACACTTTCTTACTTAAAAAAATAAATAAATCTCTTTTATTAATATTTCTTATGAATATTTTGGGAAATGATTTTGACTTTTTTTTATTTTATTGTTACGTGAATTTGGATTTTAATTTAATTATTTTGGGGTCTAATCAACACAAATTAACGGAAGTTACGTTGTCATGGCAACGTCAAGCAAGCTAGTGGTCACCGAGTCAAGAGGTGTCCCGCTCGCAGGCTAGTACATTTACAAACGAGGAGGAGATAGAGCACAGAAATGTCTTTTCAATCTATTCATTTATTATATTTCAAATAGGCCTATATGGTTTTGTCTTTTGTCCAAAAATAAGCAAAAACAAATTTCACAGCACCCCCTGTTCAAAATGACTTCCCTGGCTAGCGTAAAGCTGGCGAACTTTTCTTGTAAAAAAAACACAAGAAAAAACAGCGCTATAGATTTAATTGAACTACCTGTTGTCATAGTTGGGATCAGATTCAAGGTTTACCTTTAATGTCTACTTTTCTTTAACTGCGTCGCCTTTTAAACGGGAGCAGTACTGCGGAGTCTCCAGAAGGGGGCTCCTGAGCCCCAGATTCAGATTCAGAGAGCTGCCTGAGGGCCTGAAGGTCACAGAGACATGTCCAGATTCTCTGAAGCTTTCTGTAATGTTTGCTGTTGTGTTTTTTTCTGTGGCTGATGAAAGATTTAAGCTCCAACTCTCAGCATTATCATTTCACTGCCTTTGTGCTTTTAGTCGTGATAATGACTAATGAATGATTGGTTAGGAGACCAGTCATCTGGACCCAACAGGAGATTGATTCTCAGGAGTTTAGTAGCAAAAAGAGTCCAAGCTTAAGATTTTTTTTTCTCCTGAGACCTGGCCTTCTATCTGGTTCTGCTCTGTTCCAGGTCTCTGGATCAGAGGAGCTGATCAGTTTCAGAACTAGACTCTGTCCTGGTTCAGGTAGTTTTTCTTCATAGAGGCTCAGTGGGTTTATCTTTAGATTTAAAATGTCTGTTTACAGCTTAATTAAATGTTTCTGCTATTTGGTTCTGCGGGTCCAAATTACTTATTTACAACATTTTGATTACACAATCAGAACGTGATTGGTGGAAAATGTCTAAAACCATTTTCCTTTAGATTTAAAACAGTAAAAAACAGTAAAAGCTGATTTATTTCCTTCATCTAAAGACCTAAAAAACAGATTTTTCTGTGATTTTCTACAGAATTCCTCAGATGTTCCTCCATCTAAATGGATCCCACACAGTATCCTCTCCTTTCTCAGGTCACATGGGACAGCAGCCCTGCTCCCATTGGCCCGCTAAAAACAAGGAAAACTAGAATAATATTGCTCTTAAGTAATAGGCTAATTGTCTCACAGAACAAAATGTTTGGCCTTAACAAACACTGGGTCTGAGCATGAGCAGAGAAGTGACAGTGCGCGTGTCCGCCCCTCCGCTCCGGACGCGCCGTGCACGCGGCTGTGCGTTAGTGCTGAGAGCGGCGGGTGTCACATTCTGTGAGCGTCGCTGGAAGCTGAGAGCAGCATCACAAACAG